GTTGTACCACTTATACACGTTTTTTTGTGCCATAGTTTGATCACCAAAGGCCTTCCGCAACATTTTCAACGTGTCCGCACAAGAATATTCGTTCCGCAAACAAAATTTGATGCAAGTTCTTTGCTCAACAAAATCACCCATTGTAAAAATCGAAAAATTCACTTTTGGTTGTTTACAAAAACACGTGTAACTCGGAGATAATTAAACCTTTTGACAAACAGACGCTTGGCAAATGTCATAGACAGTCCTACCAACGTAGGAAAAAAAATTGACCTGCCTTCCTAATGCCCGGGAGTTATAAATGACAATTTCACCTTACTTTTTGATCACAGTAGTATATATATATATGATTTTACATTTTCATCATTTGCATTGTATTTATCAGTTTCTTGGAATAAATAGAGGGGTACAAGGTACAAATTTTGAAGTACAATTTTAAGCCATGGTAACATTGCTATACAGGATGTCCCATTTAAATCGACCCATATGTATACATATATATATGATTTTACGTTTTCATCATTTGCATTGTATTTATCAATTTATTGGAATAAATAGAAGGGCACAAGGTACAAATTTGGAAGTAAAATTTTAAGCCATAGTAACATTGCTATACAGTGTGTGCTATACATTGATATCTCCGAAACTGTTGATGATATTAAAAAATGTTTTAGACAAAAGTTAAATGGTATCGGGGGGCACACTTTCTGATGTGATTAACTTTTTTCTATGTGGACGCATAGAGGTCATATGAAGGTCAACTTTGTTTTTGTAAATGGAATCGTATATTTTTTAATGCGCTACTTGATGCTACTCGTTATTCCCTGCATAAAGTAGTAAGTCACTTATGGCGAATTAGTGAATTAAAAAATATACAATTCCCTTTAAAAAATCAAAGTTCACCTTCATATTATCTCTACGCGTTTACGTGGAAAGAAATTATACCAGAAAGTGTGCCGCTTGATACTATTCAACTTTTGTCTGAAACATTTTTTAATATCGTCAACAGTTTCGGAGATATTCGAGTGGGTCGATTTAAATGGGACATCATGTGTATGCCGTAAAAAATATATAATACGTTATGTCTATAAATATATCAAAATATAATACATTCTGTGTACACGTTATATTTGTAGTCCAGTAAATAAAGATAGATGCGACTAAACATAAACAAAAATAAGAAAAGATTTTTTTGTAAGCGTCTATCTTTTCCAGTGGGAAAAAAACCAACCAAATGTTTGAAAACCGATTCTCAGAGTGTGAACTACGTCGGGCAACACGTTCTTTACTTTAACACAATTAAAAATTAACATTTGAGGAAGACACTGAACATATGCCTGGATATAAAATGCCAAGGTTAGTCAAATGATACGGGTGGTGACTTGTATCGTTGAGAGGATAGGCAATTCTCTCTCGCTGGTCGTTGAGATCGTTCAAAATAAATTATTTACTATCACATATCTCATTTTTATTGTAATGCAGAATAAGATCTTGCAAAAAACTTGAAAAGTGTCCCTTTTATGATCGCGATGCTTTCAAACATTTGGTATCAATATTTATTTTCTTTTATTTTAAATTATAGTTCATTTATAAACATCAACAGTCACGCATGAATAAAGAAAAAGTGTGGGGTAACCTTTAGACATGTGTATATAAATAAAAACTGAATTGAAATTTGAATGATTTCACGTCAATTTTTTAAATTAAAAAAAAAATAGGTTAAATACGTTTTTCGGTACATTAGTTTACATAACTGTGCATTTGCATAGTACTTGTTGTCTAGTGGTTATAAAAATTGACTTTGAGTTAATTTTCTCACACGTGACTTGTAAAAATATTACGTTTTTAATTGTACCTATTTAATAAATAGTAAATACGATAATTAAATTTTGTCATTGTTCGTTGCGTCCCCAGTGGGAATAGACTATTTAAAATTGTATGCTACATTTACGAAGTGACAGATGACTCTCAAAGAGGGCGCAGTCTTCATTGGGGACGATAACCTTATCTAATTGACGTTACGGTTTGTTTGAATTTAGACATTACATTTTTAGCAGCATCGTATAACAAAGTTAAATTGATGCCATACCGGTGTCACCACGAATTCGTCTGACTCCGAAGTTTTTGATACAGAATCGTCGCCCGACGCCTCCATTTCTCAAACTAGAACGTCTTATCCGATAGACAAGTCCTTACTTATGTAAAACTTGGTTTACTATTTACATGACAATTGATCGAAGTAACGTTTCCATGACTCACTTGAGTCGACTCCATTCGCACGTACCAAAAGTAGAGGTACTAACATATTTAGGAATATTTTTACATTTTCAACAGGGAATATACTCATACTTGTAAACAATTTTTCAAAAGGTCTGTATACAATAAATCATTTTCATAACAATACTGCTGCAATGTTTTGTAGTAACACTACTACTGTATTCCTTTTTATAGTAACCATTTATACAAATTAAATAGTATTTTTACCAATGAAAATTGTTTGTAAAAAAAAATATTTTTTTAAAAAACTATGTACAGACGTCGAAATCACGATTTGCTTCTTCACAGGGAGTATTTATTAAATTTACTAAATATTAGAAACTAAATTTACGTTACTTATTAAAATTTAATACACTTAGTAGTTAAAGTGTATTATATAAATATTCCCAATTTTTATTAAATTTAACAATTAGTCCAAGTATTTTTATTATTACTACATAATACAATTTTGCTACTTATTCTTAATATTACTCGATATTTAAAATGCAGTTTAATGACTTTCTTTTTGTAATTAAAATCAGTTCAAATTTAATTGACCATTCGAGTCATTGTGATAATTTCATTACTTATTATGGCTCAATTATGTCATATAAAATTTCTAATTGGGTCATTCCACGCGAAATCGGACACTTTTTGAAGTACCATTTCGGATTTTGGTCAAATTTGGATGTGTTCTAGTCTTTAGCAATATATAAACATATCTCGTAGGATTTTTGCAAATTTAAAAAATTTTTATAGATCGCTAAAGACTACAACATATTCAAATTTGAATAAAATCCGAAATGTTCCTGCAAAAAGTATCCGATTTCACGTGGAATGACCCAATCACGAACAATTGGTTTCAGATAATTCTTTCTTTCAGAATTATCCTTTCTCTCAGGCTCTTAGAGTCACCTTCTACTTTTTACAAGCAACGGAATTGTTTAATTTTTTTTCTGTCCATAAAACTGAAAATAGCGTCGAGCAAAAAATATTGACAATGATTTTTTACTCCTTCCAAGCTATCTGTTTACCTTGTCTTCGCGTGAGATATACAACAGATATGTAGATTTATCGTATGACTTTTATTGCGAATTTGCATCTTCATTGTTATATGGCTACACACATATACCGGTTGTGTCACAAATAACTATCAGAAGTAGTTTTTTCCAAGAAGCTAAAAAGCAATGTTATGGGATTAATTAAATCTTTAAGTGATATATTATGTCTTGGTGACGCGAGGAACATGAAGAAAATCATTAAACAAAATTAGGAATACAATTAATACAATTGACACAGGATAAAAATGAAATTCATTGTACAGTAATACAGGGGGTCCCGTTAATTTTAAATACGTAAATTATTTCCGCTACTGTTGAAGATAAAAAAGAAAGGTGAGTGCATAATGGTAAATAATAGAAAATCTAATCTAGATTTAATCCTTGAACCATGAAATCTCTGTATAGTAATTTCTTCGTGTTTTCGATACCAATGGCAATAAGATGTTCATAATTAATGAGACACCATGTATACAGAGAATAATGTACCTCGGACCTCGGACGATGTGTTTTACGTGGAACTTAAATACAGTAGCTCCAAGAAATTTCTCTGTAAAATGATCCAAGTGTCATATTACAAGTGGTGTCGTGTTACATTTGTTCGAAAGAAATTGTAATCGAAGAGAAATACAATCGTACCATTATGAAAATTTGATTCGTCTAAGAGTGAATTATATTGCAACAAATGAACTTAATTGTAATAAAAATACTTATTCTGTAAATTAATGAATACTATACCATTATATACTGGTACGCAATTTAAGTTTTTTATGGGGTTGAAGAAATTGGATGCTTCCTTAATTTATATTAAATTTCATTTTATAATAGTATCTTCTGATCATTGTTATTAACGTTTTATCTAAAATTTTGGCGACGAAATACGTTGCGCACGTTTTGTTATTAATTTATTAGTCCGAAAACATCTGTGATATTAATTAACAAATTATATTTATAATTATAAGCTGTGGTTTTTATGTGTGTGAATATGTAAAATAACTGAAATAAATATTGTATTAAATAAATAAAAATAAAAATATACATAAAGTAATGTATAAAACCCTCGATAAAAAAAGATAAGGGTCACCTCCAAAAATATAAATTTGCATAAATATCTATCGTTAAAACTATATACGGAAAAATGTATTCGACCCCAATTTTTTTTAAATTGCTATGAACAAAATAGTTTACAGTAACATAATTATACAAATAATATATATTATTATGATATATTATAGTTCATATAAATGAAGTAGGATAAATCCAAATTAATTGAATTGTAATTCAATATTTGAATAGTTGGACGAATTTTGATCAATACAATTGTTCAAAGATCTCTTGCGGTATTGTTATTTATAGGTTGATTTTCCGAAGTATATTTAACTTTCTATTATATTCTCCAATTCGTTATTAATTAAAAAGAAAAGAATAATTGAGAATTAATTAACATCAGAAGTATTCAAATTTTTCAGATCAGCAACCGCCAACGTGCAAACGTCCCATTTCGCTTCTCAGTCTACGGTCGTAACGAGTAAAGATGAAACACGTGAACTGATGGCCCTTTGGCCCGATATCGTGCGCGATCTCACGGATGCCGGTCGCCATCTTGACATGTCGGATGCCACCAAGTGGTTGGCGAAGGTATTTATATTTTCTATTAATTCAACATTATAAATAGACAGTGGATTTTTATGCAAAAAATTCTTTTTAAGTGTCTTATTAGGTTCAAAATAAAATAGAAAACTCGTTCGATCCAATGAAAGTTCTGTCTTTTATTGTATTTCACAGAGCCCTATACACTATAAATACATAAAATCCGCAGTCTAATTATAAATTATATGATTTATGAATTAAAATGGCATATGTATGTATACAGGGTTCCTAAAACTATCGTACCGATCGAAACAGGTAAAGTTTTCACGTCCAGATAGATTTCGTACCATTTTCATTTTTCAATTCTTCCGGAAGTTTGGTACCTCCGAAGTTCGACTTCGAGCGCGCGTTATTTGAATTTCGAATCTCACCCACTACGATACACACAGTTAGACATGAGAAATGCACGGAATATTTAGCAGTAAATTGGTATTCTCTGGAGACTTATATGCAATTTTTATTACAGTATTAAAAACATTATTTTATTAATGCCTTATGCTATACATTTTGTACACAAACGGCGGTTTTTAAAATGTTGGAAGTAGTTTTCGGTGATTTTGAAAAATTGACAACTTAACATTCTTTGGTTATCACCTTCAAAATTATGCGTGGCTGATAATCTGTCTAGCTGTGTCTTGAAAACGAAAAAAGTCCATAAATATTCATTGTTTTTATTATACAACTGTGAAGTGTTATTTTTTTTTCACTTCTGGCGGTGAACAAATGGTAACAAGAGATTTTCTCCAACTTTTAGGTGTTACAATATAATGTTCCCACAGGAAAGAAAATCAGGGCATTAATGGTTGTACGAGCATACAAATCATTAGTACCCGAGGATCAATTAACAGAAGAAAATTTACGTTTGGTACGAATTCTAGGTTGGTGTACAGAGCTGGTACGTAATTTATTGTATTTATTAGATCGTATGATCCTAATTTTACAGAGTTTTCAATGCTTTAAATATATGCATAGTTCAGATCTTTAGAATATGTCTCGAAAGGCTTTTATTTTGAGTGTAGAAAGCGTGATGTATTTTGTTTTAATGTATTTTTTTTTTTTTTAATTAATGTATTTCTGTTATAGTTGCAATCATTTTTCTTAGTGATGGATGATGTAGAAGATCAATCAAAAGATCGACGTGGTCAGCCATGCTGGCACGCATGCGATGGTGTTGGATTAACAGCTATTAATGATAGTGTACTGTTACAAATGTCTCTGTTTCAACTTTTAAAAAAACATTTTAAATCGAAAGATTGTTATGGAAATCTCCAGGAGTTCTTTTTGGATGTAAGTACAATAGTCTGTATCTCATTGTCTATAAGAAGTTTGTGGAAGATTATAATACAGTTGATAAGAAAACAATTTTCTCTTGTGTCTTAAATTGAAATTGTGTTCCTTTAAAAAGACAAATTCGAATCAAGATCAAAAACAGACAAAATGTTGCTAACATGGACGAATAATAAGTTTATTCTACTCCTCCTAGATTTTAATAGCTTTTTCTCTTAATTACAGTCTTCAGTATTTTTAGTTACATCTTAAAGTGCGCGCTAAACCAACTAATTAAGGTCACTTCTTAAAATAAGTAACATTACAGTGTTTTGGTATGATTTAGAAGCAACAATTCGCTTTATGCTATAATTGTTATAAGCGTATAATATTTCTTTGGATTGTCCACGATTTTCACATCTCTCTATAAAACATTTTTATTTTAATTAATTTGATTTGCAGAAATCATTTTTATAGTATGTTATGGTAAAATGCATTGTTGATTTTCTTTTAATTGTAGACTATATTTAAAACATCAATTGGTCAATGTTTGGACATGCTAGGAATGAATTTGGGAAAGAAACCTAATTTAGATGTTTTTACAATGGATCGATATAATGCTATTGTAAAATACAAAACAGCTTACTATTCGTTTGTACTGCCAGTTACAGCTGCTATGTATTTTGTAAGTTTATTTTACAATATATATATATATATAATTAGCTACACCTCTAAGTATATCACAATTTTTAAATAGCCCTAACTTTTTATGTATGTATATTCCACGATTTTATAGGCTGGTATAAAAGATCCCGAAATGTATAGACAGGCAAAAACTATTTTGTTAGAAATGGGTCATTACTATCAAGTACAAGATGATTATTTAGACTGTTATGGCAATTCAAAAGTTACCGGGAAAACTACTAAATTAGATATAGTAGACGGAAAATGTTCGTGGCTCGTTGTTGTGGCATTACAACGTGTTACAGACAAACAGAGGAAGATTTTAGACGTAAGTGCGCCACTGATGAGACGCCTGTAACAAATACTAGTGTAAATATTAATAATTTTTATGTCATACAGGAATGTTATGGAGTAGACGATGAAGAGAAAGTGAATCGTGTTGTAGAACTTTACAATGAACTGGGCTTACCGAACACCTATTCCATTTACGAGGACGAAACATACAACTTATTACACACGCACATACAACAGATATCGCGTGGACTTCCGCACGAGATATTCTTAAAGATACTTGAATTGTATTACCGTAGGGTTACATAAAAGCACTATTCACTTAAGTAGAAGGAACAAGCTGGTTTATTTTGAAGTCAGGAATTAAATGTCCTTATAAATGTGCTTCCCTATTTTGTGAATTTATTTTACATGTTATGGATATATATTATAAGTTTATTAATCAAGGATCATGATGGATAGCAATTGCATTATATTTTTTTCCTAAAGAAAAACAAAGATGACAATATTTTATCATAATTGTTACGAAATATTTTATATACAATATCCGCCGAAATAATAAATGTTGATTCCATGTTAGACAAATAAGATATATAGTATTTTATATTGTATACAAATATTATATACATATTTTTACAAAATTTCATTTTTCCTCAATAAGAGCATTTTTACTGTCTGATGTTCATGTCGATATTTTCGAAAGACTTAAAAATCATTTAAATAAATCTTTCAATTTCATTATTTAATGTTTCTTTTTACGTGCCACACTTTCTTTCATCACCTTTTTCTTACGTCCATATGGTTGTTGTTTCTTCACATTTCGCCGAATTTTCAAACGTACAATTTGTTTTAATTCCTGCCTCAGATTTTTAAAGTTATCGGGGGACATAGATTGCTCAGAGAAAAATTTCACTGCCTCTGAAATTCCATACAATGAAGACTTTTTCTACTAACTATTTACAGTTTTTAGAACATACGTACCATTAAAACGTGCATCATTGTTGTCAAAGAAAAAATTATTTGTTTCTTTAGATACATAATCTCTTGGCTGCTCCTTCTTTGTACTAATTTCTTTATTGTCATTCTCATCGTCAGATGAATCATATTTGAATGGGTTCTTTGTGTCGAAATTAAACTGAAATTTTTTACTTTTCGATGGGTCTATGTTTGTTACACTGTATTCCTGTTCCTCTAAAACTTTAGAAAAGTATCGCATAATACAAACTAAATGTATTTGTTTTTTCATATAAGCTAGTTAGTGAAAAAACTAACCTTTTTCGTTTGTTTCTTCTTTGCCATATGCTTTTAACAAACTAAATTGACCCTCCTTCTTTAAACTCTGCGATAATGAATCTGACACAGAAAAATAAACATCTTTTGACACTTCTATAGGTGTGCTTTCCATATTATCTTCGGTGACATCCTTGGGTTTTTTCTTCTTTTTAACTTTCTTGGTACCTACTTCTGACTTTTGCACAATTTCATACTCTTTGTGGTTGTCTTCTGTAGGATCATATCTGATCATTTGTTTACTAAAAAATTAAAAAAACACAACGTAACGATAAGTGATGTTTATGCGAACCTTTTTCAGTTATTCATTGTTTGAGTCTGTACTTTGCAAACTTTGGGTCCTTATTCACATCTTTGTTTTTTGAAATGTTTTGAATTGGTACTCCTAGGATATTTTCTAAAATATCTAATTGCAATTTCTTTTCCTTTTGCAGATCGGTCTCGTCATTATTTTCTGTTGTACTATCTTTCTCTGGTTCATAATCAGCATCCATAAAACGTTCATCAAGTTTAAACCGTTTATCATTTCCTAAAGTAATATTATGTCTCTGAAATTACAATTATTAGTCAACTTATGATGACCATTCCAGCTGAATTTAAAAAAAATAACATTATCTACTTCACCTTTTTAGTAGTTTCAAAATTACTAATATCCCAAACTGATTCATTGTTATCTTTTTCATCAGCATCATCATCAAACAAATTGTGTTTTCTTTTCTTTGTCTTTTCCTTAATTTTAGGTTCTAACAGTTTGTCGACATTTTCATCGAATATTATTTTATTTTTATTCGACTTGCTATCCTGTACAAATACCTTTATAAGTGTTTCGTTGCATAAAAATAAGAAAGGATGAAGACAGTATCTTTGAAATTCGAATATCTACCAAATTTTTTAATGCCTCTTGTACCGCTAACTCTTTAGCTCTAAATGTTTCCTTTTTCTGTTTCAATGATTCCAGACGCTTTTTTTCAGACTCACTAATTTCATTCATTTTTACTGTGTTTGAATGTTTAATACTCGAGGGTTAGGTTATTTCGATGGGATGGACTCACATGCTTTGACATGCTTCGAGATCTCCAAAGTTTCCTTACCATCATTTTACAATACCAAATGTTACCGATAAAGCATGAATTCCGAGTATTATTATCACGAATGGAGCATTATATATTCCAGTAATATTATGTGATCTAATATGAATTAGCGGGAATCAAAATATCCGATGCTACGGTTTCTTATAAAAAATGTGTTCGCAACTTACGCGAAAAACATAGTTAAAATCACTTAAATAAAATAATTAATTTTATATATCTCGTAAAGACTAAGACGAAGTCGTCTTTTAATAATTTGTGATAAAATACAAATTGTTCATTTGTAAATAAGTTTCATTATAATATACATATCTTACATGTTACTCTGTATTTCAATTTCTATTAGTTATAATTAATAACATTTCGTGTTACAAAACAGTTGGCGAAGTATTTAACAACACACCCGGAAGATATAATAGTTATGAATATTATATTGCCGAAAATATTCAATTTCATAAATTTTTACGAATTTCTCGCATAAAACGCTACTAAGGCACATTTAGATTAAATACTATTTAGTTACAAATCGCCAACAACTCCCATAAGAGTAAAAGTGTATTCTTATACCTCGTCGGTGCTATTATTAATATATTGTAAAATCGTATACATAAGTGGTATCTAAGCCTACTTTGACTGAATTTATACAAATATTACTATAAATATACTGTAAAATCGTATATATAAGTAGTATTTAAGGTAGTTGTTGTTAGGTTTATCCAAACACTATTGTAAGTTGTATATTTTCTAACGATTTTTTCAATAAAAAACAGTCAAATGATACTTGTGCGTTTTTTATTAAGCCTATCACTACCTCTATCCCATATTTGCCATAAATAAATAATTATTGTAAAAATTTAGTTAAAATTGCATTAAGAATAAATTTGGCGCGAAATTTGAATTCAAAAAAGCGCGGGAAAATTGCAAAATCGGGAAATTGCTAAAACTACGATAGCCACCTGGTGGCAGAGCAGCAACAATGGCAATTTTTGCAGATACTACTACAGCCTAAAATTAAAAGACGTAGACAGTATAGTTTTCGTAGAAACCTGTTGAAACAGAAAACTACAGTTAGTACATATAGGAATGTACAATGTTTTTGCAGTTAGAATATTTAAGAATTTCAGGCAACTCGAACAAATTAAACTTAGAAAATTTTCAAAGTTCCATTTATATCAATATCCTGTCAACATGTTCATTATTTCAGCAATTCACTTTCAATCCAAAGATATACAGAATAAGGGAAGGAATTTAAAGTAATCTTCAGTAGTTTCATATATTTTGATCTCAAACACTTTAGTACACATTCATAATTGGGGACTTAAGCATTTGCTTAAGAATAATTAGTGACTATGAATCCCGGCCTATATGATTTTACCGTTTATTTCGCTTAATCTTGCACTAGGTATGCTTCGACCCGCCATAAACAGGATTCAAATATCGCGCCGTCGAGCGAAGCCAGCAAACGATTGCACTTTTTATCGTCCCGAGTTCCATTCACCGTTACAAGGTTGCGCTCCGGTCCTCTGGCACCTCGTTGCTCGCGGCGCACCTCACTTTGTGCTCCAGTACACCCGCTATATGGGGTCGGGTCGCGTTGTTTTTCACTGTGTTCGTGTCCGATCCGTGGTTTCGACCCAGTTTCACGGACCTAGGTGAACCTTTATGCAAAAATGTGAAACAGTTGACCGTTCGTGTACAAAGTCTTCGGCTCGGAAGACGAATCAACTGGTACGAGGGTTGCGCGATACGCTTTCGAGGTAAAAAGATGGTTCCTTCGTGCCCGATTGTCTTCCATACTAGCTGTCCGTGATTGTGGTCGCACGGGATATACACTATGTACTTACTCTCAACGAATCCTCAACTATCCAGTGATTTCCAGTGATATCGGGTACCAGCAGATTACCAGTTTCGTTTCCCCCTTGTTCCCTACGTGAAAGTGTTCGAGATCTATGTCCCCCGGATGCATAATACAATTACGTTGCCCTAGGATATATGCATACGTGTATACACTTTATCTACTGTCAAGAAGTTTCGAGGATCGAGATGATGCACAGTGGTTGATCACTTGTGTCCTTTGCCATACCCCTATCCCTACGGTTTATGGTGTAACAGAACAGTTCGCAAAAGGCGATGAAAAAAACGAGAAATAGCAGAAATTGGACGATGATTTTTAGTGGAATATCTCTCTGTAGATCTTTACTTTCAGTGCCCTATATTTCTCTGCGCGCGATAGGATCGTACCAGTCGTCGTGGTTCGGAGGAACGGAGTGTTGTGAAGCCTAGGAGGACATTTCTGGTAGAATCGTGCAGAGGCAATTTTTCATAGTATTTTGCTTTGTTCTTTTCCATTTGTGGATACGTGAGAAATGTTTTCGAATACAGCGGAGATGACAGGAACGTGTACAGTGAATGCACGAAATATGTTTCACCCACGAGCATTGTGCAGGCATTTAATGGACCGGACGAACGGGCGTAGAGACGTAGAAAGGACATAAAAGCGTGAGAAGTACCGTTTGTCAAAACGGTCGCGAGCCAGCGCGACGATAATTTGCTACGTAAACTGTCGCCCCGTACACTTAGTTTCAGGTCAGTTACCAGTTCTCCGTCGTCTACGTCGACGACGTCGTCGCGGAGAAAATGCTAAATTGTTCAGCGGAAAATAGTGATGTTCGCGTGACGTTCAGTGGTATCGAGGTCGGGACGCGTTGTTGTTCCACGGTGAATAGAAAATGAGAGCATAACGAATTCATTAGGCCGCAACGCAAATTAAATAGACGCTGGATTGCCTTGGACCGCGCCTGGACAAATCTGAGTCAACTGAATCCTTGATTTTCTAATGAAAGATTTTTTGCAACAGTTAATAATATAGTACGTTCATATACGAGGACGAATACACTCTGATCAACAAATACGCAGATATTATGACATGGCATTGACAAAATGAAAAAACTGTCCCCTCTTTGTAAGGTCATTCTGTATTTAAATGGACATTGTGATTCACTGGATTTGAGATCTTCTTGTGCATTCAAACAAATGGGGAATGTAAAATATGAGTTTGTATTTCAATATTGCTTTAATTGAGTTATCCCTAGTGATTTAATTAAAATAAACACATCTCAATTGTTCCCTAATGTTTTGAATGTAAAATATGAATTTGTATTTCAATAGACGGGGGTAGGCTACAAATATTTAAATTATTATGACAAGGTATTCACAAAATGAAAAAACTCCTGTTGCTTCATTGTAGGGTCATTCTATATTTTTAAATGGACATTGTGGTGCATTAGATTCTAGATTTTCTTGTGCATTCAAAACCAGATGGGAGTTAGAGCAGAAAAAATAAAGATATGTTAAATACTTTTTCGTTCTGTATATAAGACAAAATAAAAGAAATTGATATAGATCTGATTTTGGAGATGTTTATGTTGAATATATCAAATTCATGTAATACTAAATTGTTTAACTGGGAATATAGCCACTCCCAAATTTTGCATAAAATGTCTGTCAATAATATTATATACCTCATGAAAAAATATGTAAAATAGATCCAAGCATTGGTGCATTGAGATCTATGAATAGGAATATTGTTTCTCCTGACTCTAAAATTCCATTTCTGTCAATACTGTTGTATTTTTTATCCAAAAATACATCTGTTGGGTCTACATTGGATAGAATTGTTTTTTTAATGACATTTTGTATAGGGCCCATTGCTAGGTTAGGACCGAATATAGGTTATGACTTTTGGTTGCTGGATTACAAACGTGGGATCACTAATTAATAGTCTACACCCATTTTAACACCTTAAAGTTCCTTATAAACTCTCCTAGACCGAAATAACAGACCTATATATGTTAATGATCGCTCTGTTAATTTGTTCGATACAATTAATTAGAAATTTAACGAAAACAAAACTACGAAACTTCGATTCAGGCTTTTGCCTCGATTAATCGCTTCTATGTACAATTATATTTTTCTAACCCTAAAAGTGTCCATATAGCAAGATCGCCAAATTCACGAAATGTTGAGTTTCAAATTTTCAATTTGACTTCAGAATTTCTCTCTTATGCACAGTGTGTGCGTGTGTTCGGTGTTTTAAAGGACTTACAATCGCTGTGAAATAAATTCTGAAAGACTCAAAACTTGTGCAAAAGTTTATAATACTACATATATGAACCAGTGAGTGGCACAGTGATGTGAATAAAAAGAAATCAGTAGGTATGGCAAGAAGTAGGGAAACGTTTAAACGAACCAGGTAAGTGTATAATTGTATATGATTATTACGTAATAATTAGAGGAACCGTTTCATATAGAATTATACCTTACACCGGTAGGACACGATTTGAATTACCATTTTTTTTTAAATGTAAAAGTTGATTTTACATTGAAAGACGAGATTTCAGACCTATGTCGATCAAACGTCTTTTACTCCACTCGACTCGTACTATAAACCTCTAAGTTCAAAATCCTTTTTTTTTAGCACCCTGTGTAATACAGCAAGGAAAATCCACAATTGGACTGATTATGGATACACTGCACAATCAAAGTGTGAAAAATAGATTTTTACAAAATATATATTAGAAAAAAATGTTTTGTAAAAATTGATTTTTACAAAATGTATGATATAGACTTTTTGCAATTAATTCACAAAGATTGGAGTCAAACAGAAATTCGTGCGCCTTTTTAAGACTTCCCGGCGATTCAATAGAAAATAATAAAAATCTCGATAAATGTTACGAAAACATTTAACTCCACCGAGTTTTAAATAATACGCGATAAATGCATAAAATTTTCAATCCAATTGTAAATTTTCTTCATACTCCAACTTTTCAGCTAAAAATTTTGAAAAGCACTTGGACAGTCTATAGTGGGTTTTTACCGTAGCATTTCGCAGAAAAGAAGAGCGACGATGGTTAAAGAATGAAAATACGGGGACGAGATGTTCTTCATTGTTCGGATGTACAAGAGCGTGACTTCCGATGTGAAGCAAAAAGCGACGTGTCACACGAAATTGACGGAAAATCGAACGCGTCCAACCAGGAAACGAAACAAGATTCTAGTGCGTTTGCCGAGAGAGAGGAGGAACTATAAATAAGGTGCAATCGAAGAACACCGTGTACGCTGACTCGTGGATTGGAATGAAACTTTGTGGATTTATAGAAGGATTCAAGACAAGAATAACGGTACATATGTATCATTCATGGCCAACCGCCCTTTAAGGCTGTGAAAATTAACCTCAAAGCCGAAGAATAGGCACTCTCATTTTTTCGCGTGTAAGTCTTAAGGTACAGGAGACAGAAAAAAATGTTTCAAAAAAGTTGCCGTAATAAAATTTTGAAAAAAAGATTTTTTCTTAAAAAGAAAATTTTAGAACACTTTTTTCAAAATTTCGTTATGGCAACCTTATAGCACGTATTGTATCATTAAACTTTCGTTTGAAATATTTTTTTCTATGTCTTGTGCTTTAAGACTCACGTGAGAAAGTGAGAGTATTTATTTAATTTGAAGGTTAGTTTTCACACCCTTAAAGGGCGATTGGACGCGAATGGAACGTACCGTTATTCTTGTCTTTGCGTAAGGTATTTTTCGAGTACATATTGGGAAAATAATATTTTTTTTGTACTTAATATAACTATGTGAACAAAGGCGTATTATTATTATTATTATTTTGGTGCCAGAATTAATCGAAACTTGTAATTTCTAATAATTAATGTTAATTGACCTCTTCAGGGACAAATTTTTTAAGACCAGAAGAAATATTTTCTTAATTTTTCAACTGCACTTAATTAAAATATACGTATAAATATTGACAACAATCAATTAATAGAATGCCCTGTCTTGTTGGGGAATTTCCTAGTGACTACATAATTACAATTTTGGAATGATGCTTGAATGAAAAAAAAAATTAAACGTACACATATGTGCCAGTATCCCTCAAGAGGTTCAACATTTGTATTAATAGAATTGTTAATGTATATTTATAATGCCGAAATAAAATTGTTAAATTTTGTAACGTCTGGAATACAATAAAATCTAGCATTGTTCCTTTAACGTACATGTAGTTTTTTTTTTGTTTTTAACCTTAAAACTCCGTTGTCCAATCACGCATATACTGACTACTCTCACAGGCCAATCTGTTTTGTGAGCACACTAATGCGCACAGATTAGCGGCGACACTGAAGATAAACGAAAAAAAAAAAACTACTATTCAATGATTCATTTCGAGTCTCTGAATCAAACACAATCGTCACAGGAGATTTCTTAATTACAGGTTTCACCTTACGCCTCGCAAAGAGTACCGAAGAACAAGCTCGCAGCCCATCGAACCAGCCGCTCGAAACGTCCACATCAAGACCTCACGGATTTCTTCCCCGGGCTTAATGACAAGGAACGAAGATTGCTGCTGCTCGCTTTCTCTCTGGAACCGTAACTCCCCCGTACCACGAAAGACCGCCTAAACCGTGAAAGCCAGGCGCTAACTACAAGCCTTAGCCAGTCGTTCTCGGTCAATTTCCTCCTGTAATCGGAATCGAGACCAATTAGCCTGCCTATTCCTAAGACACCGAAAGGTTGCACAAAAAGAAACACGGAAATTGGGGCTACGAAACGTGCCGTCGAAGCGTCTACAGAGAGGAAAGAGTCTAGGGCCAAATGAAAGATTAAAGCCTGGAGTTGGAAACGAACGAAAGCCTTTCTGACGGACACAAAGGGGGTCCACGGTGTGTCTACTGACGAACATATATTCACTGCAACACGGGTACCAGCAGAGATAGAGAGTTAAAACCGAAAACTTGGTTTAAGTGGGTATGGATATGCCTGTGGCTCTAGGAAGAAGAACAGAAACAAAGCATCCCGTATAGAGATTTTTAGGGACATACAGACAGCGATTTTTAGAGTGCCTCGTTTCTACGGGTTCTAATGTAGGAGGGTGGTGAGGGAAAGAAACGTTTAACAGCTACCATGTGGGCATGATGATAAAGCGAATGAGGCGTATATAGAAGAAATGATAAACACAAGAAGAGAGGCGTTGATGAAGAGAGGAAAACAAAGGGGAATAAATGAGACGGGTGACGTGTAGATAGCGTTTGTGTTGTGAAAGAGATAGACGTTCGCCAGGGGGAGGATATATTGTTGTGCGGTACAAAGTGCGTGATGAAGAGAGGTGGAGAACGGTGAAGGGGGGAACCCAGAAGCGTGGAAAAACTGGTGCGGGTTTAGGATAAGCGCGTGAGATAGCGGACCGCGTGAAAGCAAAAGGGAAGGTGGAACACCCGTAGTGTCCGATGTTCAGAGGCGTACGATGGCCGGGGCTCTGTCCGAGAATGCCCCGAGACCCGTCAGTGTCGTCACGGTAGGCGGTGCAACAGCCGATAGTGCCAGGAACAATCACCTCGCTGGGACCCAGGTAACCAACTTTTTTTCTGTCGTGTTCACGTGTTACTTGTTATCTCCTGGGACCGGATTCCCGCTGTATACATATACAGGGTGCCTCGGCTAACTTGATCATCTCGAATAATGACTTAACGGTACACTTTATGAAAATTTTGAGGCGTGGAACTGAAATGGCATCAAGGGGACACATCTTATAATGTACGTGCTTTTTTTGTGATTGGAGGCATTTCAGAGATTTCAAGGTCGTCTTGATTTTTTTTCACGGAATGACCAATTTTTTGTACCACAGAACGATAGAGTATCAAATTCTGCGTAAACATGTGTTGACCTTCATACGGCTTAAACGTAATAGTTAACGAGATATTTACAAAAGAATTTTTAATACGTACTTACTATTTGGAAGCTATAGGTGCTTGAACTGATGCCCCTCAACTTCAATACAGTGATTATTTTGTAAATATCTCGGTAACTATTGGGTTTAGGACGTATGAAGGTCAACACATTTTTACTCGGAATTTGATACTCTATCGATCTATGATACAAAAAATAGGTCATTCCGTTAAAAAAAATCAAGGGGACCTTGAAATTTTTGAAATGCCTCCATCCACAAAAAAGCGCGTACGTTATAAAATGTGTCTCTCGATGCCATTCAATTTCCACCCTTCCAAATTTCCATAAGTGTACCGTTACGTCATTATTCGAGGTGATCAAGTTAGCTGAGGCACCCTGTATATTACAGTAAAAGCGTTAATTCAGTAAATGTGTACATTTCCTAATCACTGTATGTGTCACTGTAAAAGCGTGAAGTTTAATGAATGTTTACATTTCCTACCAATGTATTGCACTTACTAGCTGGTTAGTACATGTATTCACAAAAAATTATATTTGTACTTTAACTAGTAAATGCATACATTTACATTTTTGACATTGATTTATAAAAACATATCCTAACCTAATTTATGTTCTTATATTGATTAAATAAAAACAAGTAATTTTCGTAAAAAAGATCCCCAAATTATCAAAAAAATTGTTATTTTTTCAGTTTTCATTTTTGTCCTTTAAATATACCTATATCTTGAAAAATGATACTTTCGATATTATGCTTCTTCTAACATGCTACAGGAAATGTATGCATTATCTAGCAAATGTACATGTCAGTAAAAGCATGAAGTTTAGTGAATGTATACACTCACTAGTTAAGGCATGCATTTACGTGCAATTTTAGCAGAAGTGTTAACTGAATATAATTACATTTACTATGTAGATAATGCATACATTTCCTATAGCACGTTAGTAAAAGCATAATTGTTGAAAGTGTAATGTTTTAAGACAGGTATACTTAAAGTAAGAAAACCTTTTATAACAAAAATTGGTTGCTTTTATTTAATAAATATAAGAACATAGGTCAGGTTAGATTATATTTTTATATAATACCCTTATACAGAAAGACACAATATAATGTAGCACATTGCATTTATTAGTAAAAGTATAAATTTAGTTTCTTGTGGATACATTTATTAACCAGATTAGTAACTGCATATGTTACAGTAAAAGTATTAATTCAGTAAATATATTGTGGGTGGAATTTGCCCAGAGTCCTTTCCCAGTCAATATATGCACTTACTGATCTGGTTAGTAAATGTATTCACAAAAAATGAAATTTATACTTTCACTAGTAAATGCATACACATTTATCATCTACAAACAAGGGTGCATTCATAATTTCAATAAACACTTTTGCTGGTATTTGTTCATATGAACCATACAACCTATAAATATTGGTTTCAACAATGGCCTTTCAACCCTTTAACCGTCTTTGACGAGTATACTCGTCATCAGGAAATGACCACTTTTTGGGTATTGACGAGTATACTCGTCATGTAAAAAAATAAAAAAGCTTTGACTATAAACATTGAAATTTTAGTAAAAATTGAAAAGTATAGTTCTTTTATTAAAATAAAGGAATCAAATTGATTACAGAATTACATCGTTAAAGGGTTAATGCGTTTACCATGGAGCTTATTTAAGTTACCTTTCCATTTTACGATTGCATCATTCGTTATTGTAATTTGTATTATGGCGACGGTCATCGGTGACCGACACTGTGTGAAATGGGAAATCACTGACTGTACTTTGATTTTTGTTTTATTTAGAATCTAACAGAGTATTGAATATGGTAATCAAATTTTTCTCGGATTGCAGTTTCTGGAAATTAAACTAAAAAAAATCTACATGTACATAAAAATACACATAGTCTACTTATTATTCGTTGCATTTATTATTGAAACGTTATTTACAATAATTCATGAGGTGAAAAAACATTTTCTATAGACTACTTATTAAACATTCGAAGTTTTCAATCAATTTCAGGAAGTAGGAATAATAATATTAACTAATACTTTTCCTTACCATAAACAAGTAATAAAATAAATTAATTCCAGTACTGTCAGTTCAATTTTTCTGACCGCTTTAAGAATATTTCCAAAAACATGAGATGTTTTAAAACAATTGGTTCTATATATTTAAATGATGTTCAGCGGTAGTACGTATTCAATGAGATAATTTTCAAATTACAAATCAATTTCTGTATTACAATGCAACCACCATACGTATACAAGATACTACATGTTTTTTTCTTTATTTGTTGCTGGTTCACCAAAACCAGACACCTACAACTTCAGAATTAAATTTTGAGATATTTTATGATCAATTAAATCAGAATTAAATTTTGAGATATTCGATGATGAAATATTAATTTTATTCAATTAATGAATCTTATTAATAAAAAGATTCTCTAATAAAATTCACAATCTTTTAACTAATCTTCGTATGGTTATATGAAACATGTCTTACACAAAAATTCTTTTTACTCTTAAAAAAAATTCAGGTTTGAAAGGGTTTCATTTTTGTTTGCTTCCACTAGATACCGTTCGCACGCATCTAGTTATTTTACTTCTCCGTGCTTGCAGCGACATCTATACGTCGCCAGTTAGTTTCCCTTCTATCAGTTGCATCTTCTAAGTTATTTTTCTGTTGACATTTAACCTCTTCTCAGTAGTGTCTGTTAGGCCTTCTACATTATGTCTTTGTACCATTCCATATTTTCCATATCAAAACTTTTCACTGGTATTTTTACCCGATTTCCCCTTCTCATATCTTTTTCCATACTACAAACGCGTCATTAACCTCTTAACGGATACTGGCACGTATATGTAAATACATTTTAGTTCTTCTTTCATTCAAACATCATTCCGACACTGTAATTAAATATTCAACAGGAAATTCCACAATAAAAAACGATAATCTACTAATTGATTGTCGTTAATATGTGTAATATTTTAATTAAACGCAGCCGAAGAATAAAAAAAAATATTCTTTCTAGTCTTAATCAATTCGTCCCTGAAGAGGTTAATACTTCCCCGTGTAAATGTATAGGGTGAATGCACCAGTAAATGAACACTATAAAAAAAACAAGTAAATTAAGTTACTAAACTAAGCAAATGATTAAACATGGTTTTGCTCAATTCCATTGGTTAGAAATGTTCATTCACTTGTGAAGTCTGTATTTTTTCGTTTCAATTCAATTAATTATATTTTCCCAATTTCTCAAATCGAAATCTCGTTATAAAAAGTCAGATATTCAAAAATCTAATTTTCATGTGTCAAGTATTTAGTAATATCATTACGATTTAAAATTCAACTTTAATATTTAAGAAAATCTCTTAAATGTTCATTTATCGGTGCGTTTACCCTAGTTATTTTTATCTGCTAGGAAGTAAAATCTATTTACATTCGTTGAAAAAAAATTCTTTTATCTTACGAACACATTACCTGATGCTACTTAACCTATTAATACCGACGTAAATAGTACTAGCTTAAAATTTTCTCATAAACTACTGTACAGTAATACCGTTCGAAAATCCAATGGAAAGACAAACCTTAGTCAGCGCGAGTAACTTAACCATGTCTATATTTGTTTTTACAGTAAGCGTATAAACTGTCGACAAATATATGGATATGAACCGGTTCCTTCTTGCACCATCTTTTCAGGCTTTTAATTATTTCCTTCATCTGTGTTTTACTGGGTGGCGAGCCGGATATCGACGACGATATCGACGAGAACGACGACGACGTGGACGTGGACGACCCGGACGATGACGTAGACATCGACGAGGACGATCTCGGACGACCCTCCGTGTCCTCCATATCCCCTTCGTCCTCCGAAACATCATTCTCCGCGTCTGTGCACCTCGACAGAAATTCGTTCACGTCATCCTCGGTCGCCTCTTGCCCATTTATCATCCCGATCACGTCACGTACAGTGGGTTGCAACGGGTCCCAAGGTTCTTCCTTCACCATAACCTCTTCGGGCAACGACTTCAGAATTTTCTTCCAAGAATTGTACACATCCGAGACGGTAATCGCGGACCAAGCTTCGTGCAACATATTCATACAATCATTAATCGTATAATTAACATTAAACATTTGCTGCCCGTTGGCGGCGGTGTACACCTGCTGCAACATTTTCTGTCGAAATATCATCTTAGTCTTCTGAATAACACCCTGTTCCATGGGCTGTAACAGAGGGCCCGTGTTATCCGGTAACGATAGAATCTCGAAATTTTCATCTTTATGAAACTCTTTCGGTATCATTCGTCCCTGATCGCTGTCCACTATCAGTACAACTTTCCCAAACCCACAGCTCTGGAGCTGATGTTGCTTGACAAACGGTTTGAAATAATTATTATACCATGCTAGAAACAATCCCTGTTCGATCCACGGTTTCGGTTGGGACTGAAAAACCACTGTCAGGCCGTCCTTACCCTCCGTAGATGTCGCTAGTGTCTCGTATTTATGAACAAACAGGGGAGCAAGCTTATGGTTCCCGGTGACATTAGCGCAGAGGCCAACTGTCACACGATCCTTCTTCAGTCTCAGGTCCTCGATTCTTCTCTCCTCGCTACCCAGAGGTGTCTTCGTGGGAAAAGTCTTCCAAATCAGACGTGTCGCGGCCATGTTATAAATATTGTCGTGTCTGATGCGCTCCTCCTCCTCCACGCGACGCACGAAACTTTCGACGAACCGTTGGGCACCGTCGACGTCGGGATCGACCTTCTCACGCGCCCCTAATACGATCCCGTGACGGTATTTGAATTTCTGCAACCAACCGACACTCGCTTTGAAATCCGACGGCCCGCCAATTTCACGGTTGATCTCCATCGCTTTTTCCATCAGCACCGAATTCGTGATCGGCTCGTCGGGGTTCCGTGCAAGAAACCAATTCTGAAGACGGCTGTCGAGCTCCGCGTTCACGGGCAGCCGTAAAACTTTGCGTCTACTCATGTGGTCCCCTTGCTTCACCGTGTGGCAGAGTGTCGTCTTGTTGCGTCGTATACGACGTATGGTGGTCGCGTGGACGTTATACTCGGCGGACAGACGCGACACCGACGCGCCCTCTTCCAGTTTTCGCACGACCTCGTATTTCTCTAATATCGAAAGCTTCTTGTACAGAGGCACGTGTGGACATCCCTCGTCGCGCGGAGTTCTCTTACATGGCCGTCCGTCGAACATACGGGACGGGGGATTCGATGGGAGAAAATATTCGTTCGAGCTGCGTGTGGAAACGGGGGAGAGAACGACCTCTGCGAACCGACGTCGAGCAATATACTGCGTTCTCTCTCGTAGCGCTCGTCCCCCTCCCCCCACCACTTCTCCCCAGACGCTCCGATACCGCTTCTTCTACCATCCCCACCACTTCGTGGGAATTGATCGGGGAGAGTCCCGCTTTCGGTCGGTCATTCGGTTGGCGTCGAGAGCATCGCGCTCGTGTGTTGGGTTTTTTTTGGGACGACTTTACTCCTGGGCGGCGGACCGGGAGAAAAAAAAACGACGCGGCATGCTGGGTCGCTTTTGATCTCTCTTGGAATTTTCATTAGGTTTAATATTGTATGTTGAGAATTTTTGTGGAGCATAGAGAAATTAAATAAGCACGGTAGATGCACTAGTAAATGAACACATACCTGTAAATGAACATTATATTCAGGGTACGGCATTTAAGTTGACACATGGAGATATCATAAAAACAAAGCATTTCGTTCAACAAGCAAGCAGTTGTTTCGTTTTGAAGGGGAAAGAGAATGACATTATGTATTTCTAATCTGGTGAACGTTTTGAAGGTCATCCGAAGATCAACTTCGTTTTTCTAAATGGGTATTTATATATTTTTTAATAGATCATTAATCCACGCAAAAAAATAAACAATTTTTGTCTGAAACGTTTTCTTATTTCACCACCATTTTTAATGATATTTAGCAAGATTTAAATTCAATAATGAATTCCTTGTCGCGTGTTTATACATGTACGGGTAAACTTTAAATTAGTATAAACGAACAGAATACTTTCAGAGACATTGACAAAGAAATTCTGTTACGTGCTCATTCGTCTTTTCTAAAAAACCTTGAAAATGCATTGAAGTTGAAGGTCGTCATTTCGAGCACTTATTCATAATAAATTATTTTTATTTTGTTTCTGTATCGATCAACGTCCTCGCGTTCTTTTAGACTAATTTAAAGTTTACCCGTACGTATGTAAACACGTGACAAGGAATTCATTATTGAATTTAAATCTTGATAAATATCTTTAAAAATAGCGGTGAAATAAATAACGTATTATTTATTTTTTAAATGTAGGTATCCATTTAAAAAAACGAAGTTGATCTTCGAATGACCTTCAAAACATTTACCAGATTAAAAATAAATTATGTCATTCTCTTTCCCCCACCAGAGAACTTTTGTCTAAAATACTTTCTTATGAAATGCATTGTTTTTATGATATTTCCAAGTGTCAACTTAAGTACCGCCCCCTGTACAAAACGGAATAAATTAAATTATTAAAATAAGCAAATGATGAAATATTGATCTTTTTCGGTTCCTTGTTTCATATTCAAAAGATTTTCATTGCATTGGTTGGAAGTGTTAATTTACTGGTTATTGTTCATTAATTAACTGTATTTTTTTCAATTTTTTGTAATTTAAATAAACTACACTTTTCCAATTTTTCAAATTGAAATGTATATGTTGTAAAAAGTCGATGTTTTAATATCTGTACCCTTTTTTAAAATGTATAGATTTCAATTTAAAAAATCGGAAGACTGTAATTAATTAAATTAGAAAGAAAAAAATATAGATTTTACCAGTGAATGAACAATTTTAAGTAAATGAACATTTCTAACTAATAGCGCGAAAATTGTTTGAATACGAAACAAGGAATTGAAAAAAATCAATATTTAATCACTTTCTTATTTTAACCTCTCGACGGATACTGACACGTATCTGTACGTGTAGTTTTTCTGTCATTTACTTGGATCATTCCGTAATTGTAATTAAACATTCACTAGGAAACTCCCCAACAAAAAAGGATATTCCACCAATTGATTATCGTTAATATTTATAAATGTATTTCAATTAAATACAGCCGAAAGAATAAAGAGTATTCTGTCTGGTCTTAATAAATTCGTCCCTGAAGAGGTTAATAATTTAATTTACTCATTTTTATATATAATGTTCATTCACTCGACAGGTCACCGTATGTATTTTTTTTGTCTACACTCCGTACGTTGTTATAGTATAGCAGACCCTCATATTACACGGTGAATACGATTCGTGTTTGTAGAGCCCCCTGATCGATAAGTGTTCCAAGGCTTTCCGGCTCTGACGAGGCAAGGACCTCAGATGTAACGCTGATTTTTTAATGGAGTTTAGCACTGTGTTAGATCGTGGAATTCTGAAGCCAATAATATTTGTTTCAGCCGCATATGGCCATTAGTTTATCAAATATTTAACGTTCAGTGCCGAGAAGCCTTCGAACACTCATCGATGATTTACTGTACCTCCTCCTTTTCGAAGTCAATCTATAAGACTACTAAATAAGAGTCTTAGGATACAAGATAAACAAGGCTTTGTATTCTAAGGATTCTAATCAATCAGTCTTCTTGGACATTTTTCCAGGAACCACGGGAGAATGGTCGGTCGTACACATCGACGGAGGCGCAGACAGAGCTGGCCCTCCAAAGCGGTCCGGAGGCACTCGAGGATCTGGACGGGGTCCGTGGGGCCCGCAGGAGAGAGAGGCGGATGCGAAGGCAGCACCGTCGAGCCCTGAGATCATGCTCGATGCCACCTTCTTATCCAGGCACGTCACCGGGATGTCAGGCCTCTACTGCGCCGGGAGTGCCGCTGGTGACGCCACCTAGAGGGTTTCTGCATCCCCCACCACCGCATTTGGGCCTTAGGGGACTTAGCCTAGGTTTGCCCTTCCCGGTATCGACCAGCGTCTCTGCTTTTGGCAGGTGAATGATCTACCAATTTAACATAATAACATGAGGTATAGGTCCTGGAACCGATATAGTGAGGTCTTAAAGCCGTAAGTGAGGACATTAATACATGTAACCACATCCAGGGTAGTCTTATAGAAGTATTATCGTGAAAATGCCAGGCTGTAAACTTCATTTGTGCATTGATATTAAAAACTTCTGCTGCTTACTAAATAGTAATTGGACGAGCGGAGCAAGTACTTAATAGGCCATTTCTTGCACTTTTGTGATGAGTAATATGCCTTTCACGATTCACATTGGGTCATTCCACGTGAAATCGAACATTTTTTTGAGAGACATTTCGGATTTTGTTGACATTTGGATATGTTGTAGTCACATTGAAAATTTGAAAAATAGATGATTTTACAGCCGTTTGGAGTATAGTGTCAACGTTTTTTTTAATACATTATAACTCTTAAATTAACAGACTGATCAAAATGAGCTTTGCGGGTGCTCACAGTGGAGACATAAGAGTACCTCATAAAAATGATTTGAGTTAAGAAAAATATTATTTATTTCTTTTGCAATTGTTTTAAAGAAATGCAATGTTATAATAGCGGGGCACTATTTAAAAATGAAAAAAGGAGGATATAGTCCTATTTGTCCTCTGTATGGACTAATTTAGAGAAAACAGGGGTGTATCTTTATACCTTAGTGGTTTCACGCCACAATATCCTGCCCATGTACTGTACGGCCCTGGGTGTAGCTTATGATTTCACTATTTCGGTTCTAGGTAGGGATGTTCGATTCCGATTTGATTCTTCAGAAGATAGCTTTCCTTGGGTACCACATCACTGCCATTTATAACACATACACTTTCAGTAAAAAGTATGGGACCAGAATTCATCATTGCTGGAACAGTAACTTATTACAGTAAATCTTCGATGAGTGCTCGAACACTGACAAGGAGAGGTCCCCAGGTGTAACGCTGACTGTTTAATAAGGTTTACCACAGTGATAAAATGATGTTCAGTGCCGAGGAACCTTCGAGCACTCATCGAGAATTTATTGTATTCTGTTACGATAAGATAACAATTACGGAATCAGTACATATACAAATCACTTCCCATCAGTTTTAACACGTTACCTTAATTAACTCTTTGTAGAATAATATTTACCAAATATATATACCAAAGGGAATCGATTTTCCGACGAATTCGAATCGGTATCGAACATCCCTAGTTTTAGGGAGTGTCCAATTGGAAGAAGGTGATTCTACCTGGAAAAAGAAATTGAAAATATATAAATCATGTTTATTTGTTCGTTACAGGGATGCAGTACCGAAGCAATGTTGCGGTCTCGGTTCCCCTCCGGTACGCTGGTCCATACTGGGCGTCGGCGTGGTGGGTCTCGTATGCGCAGGTGCTGGCGCTCTGCTTGGGGCACTCAGGGCTTCGGGCCGTGATCATATTGCAGTGGCGCTTTTAATGATCGGTGAGCACTAATACTTCATCCCCAGTTAGTTTCAACTCTCGTGGACTCAGGTCCGGTTAAATATTTTTTGTGACCCAGGGCCTCTTTCGTTGAAAATTAGGAGGGGGGAGGGGCAAACATTTTTGTAATGAAACACAATAAAATACATAATCTTCAAAAATTGAAATTTATTAAAAAAAATTTATTAATCAATTATTTCAAAAGGGAAACAGTTACCAAAATTTCACTCAACTATTTTTTGACATAAAAGGAAGGCTTATTGTTAGATCGGGGCCTCCCTGGAAAGAAGAACCCGGGGCTATAGCTCCCCCCCCCCAGCCCCCTTCCCATAATCCAGCGCTGCGTGGACCTTAGAAGTTTATGGGTGAGGTCCCACGCCCGCTTTAGATCCTCTTTATGCAGCATGAGTCATTTTTATTTTCCAAAGTGACTAGTTCCACAAAACTTATTACACACCACTCTCGAGTGTTTGAGTGTTATAATTTGAAAAAGTAAAAAAGTAGAGTCGGTTTAGCCTGTGAACAGCCCATATTGCGTACAATAGACAGTAGCAAATGACAAAGGTTTAAAAAAATGTTGCTTTTGACACAAATTGCATTCCACCTGTTAACTTAATACTGTAGTCAATTTTTCGTGACTTCCACAACGGTATCATTTGAAAACTGTTTATAATGGGTGGAACACTGTAGGGGAAGTTTGCCGAATTTGAACCATCATCTAAATTGGACCACTACTGTGTTAAAGGAAATTTGACTGAGTCGAAATATGTCCAGAGACTGTAATGATAAATGAGTTAAATTATTAAATAATTTGGAACAAAAGTCATCAATTTACTTATCCAAAAACTGCTGTTCGAATTTGTGTTCGGAGACTTTTACGAGTATTGTGTTCGTAACAAATAGCGGGGGCATTGATCGAGATGAATCCAGAAACGGGAGAATTATGAAATACGGAGCAGTGGCGGTAAGAATCCGGCCGCGAGATGGATGTTGGTTGGTCGGATCGGTCGATCGAGGCGCGCAATGAAAGTGGTGGGAGGATCGTGCTCGCAACGGTTACTTTCTAAATGTGGGCATGTAACCTGCGACCCGCATAGAATGGCTCTCACAATGGGAGAAAGCTTTAACCTACAGAGATCGACGTCTTACGCCCACACGTGGCGGGACCGTAAGATTCTGGGACCAGAAAATTCGTGTAAAAGAAGACAGATGAATAAATCGATCGACAAATGAAGATTCTTGAATCTAGGAGGTGGATCAGTCGTAATGGTTCCAATCGTGTTGGTTCCAATCGTGTTGGTTCCAGTCGTATTGGTTCCATTTATATTGGTTCCATTTATATTGGTTCCAGTCGTATTGGTTCCATTTATATTGGTTCCAATAATATTGGTTCCATTTATATTGGTTCTAGTCGTAATGGTTCCATTTATATTCGTTCCAATCGTATTGGTTCCATTTATATTCGTTCCAGTCGTAATGGTTCCATTTATATTCGTTCCAGTCGTATTGATTCCAATCGTATTTGTTTCAGTCGTATTGATTCCAGGGAATAATAGCTATCTTTGTGGTGGTGTGAAGAACAGAGCGCGGATTTTCTGAAATTGGAATAAACGCAGTTAAACGAAACACGGTTGAAGATGACATTTCTATATTAACAAAGTGGATTTTATTTAATTTTAATTTTCATGAATTAATCCAAAAAAATTTTGAATATGGGTTCGAGGTTACTGTTGAATTAAACGTGTCTCTTAACGCGAACGAAATAAGACACACAAACAACATATTTTTCGAACAAATATAATATTTGAAATTTAAATATTTTATTTTAATTTTAATGAAATTCTATCGTTGTTATTGCTTGTTGCCGTTACGATAGTAACAGTGGAATGTTCGAGTATAAAGTTCGAATATTTAAGGCAACACAAACGACAAAACATTCCGACAAACTGACTATATTCGAGACTCATGATGAAATCTCTTGCGAGATAGATGATAGATCTTTGCCACTTTCTGTCTATTCTCTTTTCATCCCGGTGCTTTATTATCTCTAGCAATGCTGTCTGTTCTATTCGAGCCCGTCCTTTCTATGTGCTCATTCCATTCTCTCCTACTCCCCTGCAGCGCTATATCGGGGCACCTTGCGCACCGCTGCGCGAAAAGTTTTAGGTTAGGTTGGGCATCAGCCCGGCGTTCAGGTAGAAGCAATTCAATTATCCTCTTACGCCCGGATACGCCGTGTCGCAGATTATCACAGATATTAGGACAGCGGTGAATGTTGCGTGACCTTTATTAACACTGCATTAAACAGGAATTCTATATTTTTATAAATAATTTTCGTTCGCGAGTGGCTGACACTCCAAACAGTTTACGTTAGCCTCTTAAGTGGACAGCATTTTTCCTGTTTTTTGTCATCTGGCACCATTGTTTACTTTGTTTTATATAATCTGAAAGAAATATGGCGATTTCGAAAGTACACTATCATGCAGAAGTTTAGGATCATTTATGATACACACTACTTTTAGGAAATATAATATAATATTTCTATCACGCTGTACTTTCAAAAAAGCTAAATTATTATCCACTGCATGGCATGACTATAAAACCACCCTAAAATTTCAATCCTTATATATTGTGGTTAAAATAAAAAGGATCACTTTTTTTGTAGGAAATATAAGCTATCCTTTTCAGGAGAAACATTATTTCCTAACAGAATTTTAGACATGACATACTTGTTTATAAAATTTTCACCTAAAAGGTCACCTAAAATTTTAGGGTGGTTTTATAGTTACTAATTGTTTAAACTTAGAATTATAGTGAAAATAGTATTGTCACGTGGTAATAAGAGTTATGTACTGCTGTATGAATACTTTTTGCTCTTACTGTACCACATCTCTTTCTTTTGTTTATATAATATATAAATATTTCTTTGATTTCTTGCTCTCATAAAATATATTACTATTACTATTGTTAAGAAGAGAATGTGATCAGTGAAATTAATTTAACCGAATGAGTAAATAATTTAAGTGATTCTGTCGTTGATAATATTTATTATCGTAAATTTCTCATCCTGGAATTATTAATAACGAACACGGCATTAAATAATGCAGAACGAATTAATATCCGGATTAGGATATTACTGTAGTTAGGTGTATCCGGGGAAATTCGTGATTTATGCAATATTATATCATGTTTTGATACGTGGAATATGCATTATCATAATATGGACGTGAAATTGGAAATGATATTAATTCAATCCCCGAGAGAAAATAGAAAAGTAAAAATGACTGAGACCTCATTTTTTTTTCTTAAAAAAAATATACAGTTTTATGTTGTTAATAACATAATTATAGGTGTTACAGAATTTCTTGAACGATATTTATTTCATTGAAAGAATGGAACGCCTGGAAACAGAAATGAAGAGAAAGAAGGAAACGTCACGTGCATTGTAATTTAATGATGAAAGTAAAATAGCGCTCGTAGCGTCGATATAAAGTATAAACGTAATGGAGTGTGTACAGTCGATGACAAAAATAATTCAGTCAGTTTAAACTCTGTCGAAAACATCATTACGATTACAGTACTTGTAAGATAAGAAATCTGAAGTATTGAAATAAACCTTTTCTCCAGGTTTAAAATAAAAACAAAGAAATCTGTAGTCGGTCATTTTGAATTGGTTTGATAGTGCCAGTGTTAAAATCTTTAAGTTTCTAATTAGAAATATGAATCATCTGTCTTTTGGGTGTACAATAATTTCTGGAAACCACTTTATAATATGAATCAGAGCCCTCCCGATTCTCCACGGCGACCGAATATAGCGGAGTCTCCAGTATCCGAACTCCCATTATCAGAATACCCAAATATTCGAACGTTTTGTTGTACGAAGGTTTCACCAAACCAAAGTACTACTATCCAAATGTTTTACTAAATTAAGGTTCTACTATCCAAACGTTTCACTAAACCAAGGTTTTACTGTAAAAAAATTCCACTATCCGAACGTTCTGTTAAACCAGAGTTCTACTATGCGAACGTTCCACTAATGACTAAACCAAGATTCTACTATCCGAAAGATCCATTATCCAAACGTTCTGTTAAACCAAGGTTCTACTATCCGAATGTTCTGCTATCCAAACGTCCCACTGTCCGAAAGTTCTACTACATCAAGGTCTTACTTAACCAAGGTACTACTATCCGAACGTTCCATTATCTGAACACTTACGTCTCCCTATCAGTTCGGATATGGGAAGATCTACTGTACTAAAATCATAAGACCACGCAGTCTAGCTAGTAAGGAGATAACAAAGATTTTCATCTCTACTTAAATAAATGAAATCTAGTGATTCTTCCATTATCCGAACACCTATGTGTCCCTGCCAGTTCGGATACGGGAGGTTGTGCTATACTTTCGTCAGCGACTGTACGTCGGGAGCAGAGGACGAGGAATTGGTCCGCGTTCAGCGAAGAAATTCCGGAGGCGGAAAAGTGGAAAGATTCGTGTGAGAGAGTGCGTGTAACTGCGAAAACCCCGGATAATTGCGTTTCCTCGGGAGGATGGTTTCTCAGCTCTCACTATTCTCACGTGCCGACTTTCGTGAGAACACGCGACAATGCCTTGACGATACCGTCATCTCTGGCACGGCGGATTGAACAGAAGTTCTCACACCAGACGATTTCGCACAGTTTATGACGCGAGCTTTGACGATCCTGGCCATGTTATCTTTTGATTTTGGGACAGACACGCTAAACAATTCTCGTAGAATTCTCTCATTGTTGGCGGAACAATATCTACGGGGTTAGGCATCTTATAGTGTACGTGAATGTAGTTTGGAATCACGAATAATCTGTAGAAATTGAAATTTAATTTTTCTTCTATTGTAGTTGGGTACATTAATATTTAATATTATTTGGTAGGTAATCCAGTAATGTATTTCTTTGATGAAAGGGCAATAGCGTTTAAACAGATTGTATTTTCCCGCCTTTCTGCTTGGTAAAAATGGCGTATCATGTTGTAGAATAATGAGATCGCGTTTTTGATATTTTAATAGTTAATTATTTATTGGCACAGCCAATTATTGTTGTTTAGTTTCTGCCACATATGGCGGAAATTGTTTCCTACGTGATCTAATAGGGGATACTTAAGATTTAAATAAATAAATAAACTTGAATATTTGAAGGTTGCAATTGCCATGTTACAGAAACACAGATAACCACATACAAAATATTTGTACTACAAAAATTTCCATCGTATTTGATAATTCATATTGAATATAACAGTCACTGGGTATACCAAACAATTTTAGATTACTACTGTAAAAAATCAGAAACTCAGATCTTATTCCCCAACATGCGACGCCATTTTTATCAGACAAAAGGGCGGGAAAATAGACAGAATTTGAACTGTGTGGTCTCTTATGGAAGTAACACTGGTTTGCCTACTAAATACTGATAATATTGTAACTGCATAAATAACAATTATTCAATTTCATCGTGATAGAGAATATCTAAATATTAAATATGACCGAAACAGAACAATAATTATATAAAAAAACATTATAGTGATTTTCAGGCCTTCTATAATAGTTCTCTATTGTCCTACTATCAACATCTATAAAAAAAAGAAACGAGGATCGTTAAGATCGAAACTGATCGGATTCTTCTAATCATCGATTTAAAATAGACTTTTTTTTCGAATTTCGTTATGTCCACTATCTCTGACAAGACGTGTTCTGTTACAGGCATAGGAGTGGTTCTGGTAACTGTGAGCGCTGTAGCGTGGCGAGTGACCAGTCGAGAAAATTGTGGCAGTTTCTTTGGTTTCACGGGGATCTCGGGCAGAATCCCGCCAGCGAGGCCAATTCATCCGTACGCTGCCATGATTTATCCGGAGTTTCAATTCCGAACGCCGCCACCGAGTTATCAGGTGACATTTCTGAAGTTTCTCCTGGCCATCGGCCGAAATTGCTTTTAGTGACCGTGCAATATTCGTCTCTAGATTCTTCTTATTATAATAATGGATGTTCCACGGTCACTGATGACAATCATTCTACGCGAAAGAAACAGTAGAAAATGTAGAATAAACTTTTACAGAGTATAATGACCTTGAACACTTAGCATACTTCTTTAGTATCCTTTCTGGATTGACAATTGCACCTGTGAATTCAGGGTACCGGTAGAAAAATAACTGTTGGATCTTGTACAAAGGTTTTTTATAAAGAAATATGAGAAACTAAAATGTTACAACTATTATGGGTGAAAATGGTTCATAGAACATTACAATGTTAGCACGGTTGCTACCATCCTCAATGGGACCTTCCATCAAAGATATAGGGAATCATTACACTGCGCATGTTCATGCATTTATAGCAAAATTTAACAAGCAAAATGCAGTAAAATAAAGATTCTAATAAAACTTACTGATATTTATATATTCCCATCAACATAACAAGACATTTAACATAAGAATTAAATTCCTATCTGATGTTTATATATTAACGTCTAAAATTCTGAATTTGCATAAACATCCGCCGACTAGTGATCACGAGTCCCCAACAACTCATGAGAATTCCTCATTACAAGACTGCGGATGTTTATGCAAAATCACAATTTTAAGCGTTGATTTGTAAACATGAAAATGAAATAGAAATGTATTTCCTGCACTAGATGTCTTATTACGTTAATAACAATATATAAATATCATTAAGTTCAATTAAAGTTCTTATTTTACTATATTTTACATATTAAAATTTCCTATAAATCTATAAACATCCGCAGGTCTATAAGAACAATATGTTTTGCAATTTTCACCTATAGTTTAAATGCTTAATCAAGGTCGAAAAAAATATAGCGTGATCTATGACTGCCAGTGTTGTAGACAATATGGCTGTAACAAACGTGTCAGACCCAATGTCCAAGGACTCATGAGAAAAGTCCTATCCTCCATTTTCTATTTATTTGTTCACTTGGAATGTTGTCGTGAATCCCAACTTGCAAGCAATTGATAATTTTTAATGCAATAAACTTTATTTCAGGCGAGCATGCAAGAATACAGACTCCGATTGCTGCTTCTGGACCGTTTGCAGCCGACGTCCTCGCCCCCGCCGACCTATAGGTCCAACGCCGGGAGTATCGTGACGCCCGGCACGACTAGAGAAAGCAGACCGCCGAGCTATTGCGCCAGATCGAACGTTCCATCGAGCACGAACGTCGCACCTTCGAAGAAGGACGCGAACTTGGTTAGGATCGTGCAGACCGAGTCGGAACCGGTGATACTCAGCGGGGACCAAACGCCCCCTGTCGCCGCTGTCGAGGTGCTGGCGCACCTCTGATCATTATTCCATCGTGATCACGGTCTCCGACTTCGCTGTTTAACGCTTTGACTGCCCGAGACTGGTCTCGAGTCCCCTGAGAACCGAACTGATCAAGTCCGTTTCCATGAATTTCTTAGTTTTCGTATTTGTTACATTTCTGAAATGGACAATTCACATTATGTTATCAGTGCATATGATATAATTTGTTTTTCGTAAGAAAGTTATTACTGTTGTTGCCATGTTGGTCCATGGAAATCGATATTGAGGATTTCGTGGAACATAACCTATCGTTTCATTGAAGAGAACGCAAAGTGTCAATTGGCAAATACTATCGTTGGTGATTAAGTGTTTAATTGTTAACCCTAGAAAGCTAAAATTCGTCGAAATTGCTATCATGGAGGATTTTCTTTTCGTCTGTAACGTTGTTACATGCATCGTGGAGGATTTTCATTCAATCTCTAACGCAGTATTTCTTTATTTCGTTTAAAGTATATCTAAACGACACGATTTTATAAAAATAACCTTAAACTTGATGATTTTCACGCACGACTGGCTTTAACGTTCATCGAAATGGGCTTAGCTTTCTAGGGATAACAGATACATGGACTGAATTCGGTAAATAGTATTGTGTTAACCACCTGTGGGCAATAGCAGTCAAAGCGTGAAAGAAACAGTCGTCGATCGATCGACGAGAAGATTTATTTTGCGAAAGGAATTACCTGCAGTGCAATATAACCTTATCTATTGGGTTCCTCTAACCTCTTTCTCGGTACACCGCTGCCGAACGGTAGCCTAAGCTGTTCTGGACATAGTAATCGAGCAATTTTTGAACTAGGATGCCGAGTGGCCAATTCTAAACGAGTGTCCTTTTCGGAAGAGAAAGATTTTTCAACTCTTTCGGTGCACAGTCGATGTGTCACGTGTGTAAACCGAAAGGTGGCGTCTGCGGCGAACGCCAATGGGTGTCGCACGAGCTGTTTAGCCCGTAGTGATTCTGCATTGGAGGTTATCAAAAGACGTTTCCAGCACCGAAAGAGTGAAACGTGTTAACGAAAAAGTCGCAATCGTTAGACAAGTGCGTTTTGCACCGCGTGGCTGACGAATGTAGAGCCGTGCCATTTGCAGGCGCTGGAAAATTTACGCCATTTTGCGATCAAGCTAATTGTGGCCGCGGAGAAGTCGCGGTCGTGGGGTTAGAATTAGGGGATTTCGTAATCGTAGAACTGATATAAGCGTACCGGGTACGAGAGGCCGTGCTTAGGGCAGTTGTTTCTTTTCTGCGGCGCTGAACGTTTTATCTTCCAATCTTTTAACCGCTTTTCCTTTTTGTGATAATAGAGAAGAGACTAGAGACAGGCGCCCTAGGGAAAGGAACCTCGAGTACGAGCCGAGTATAGAGTGTGCAAAAAGTGTTCGATTTTTACGAGAATATTTTTCGCAATGGTGATAAAATGAGATTATGCTCGACGAGGGAACATTTCTAGGACAGAGAATTATTTTTATTTGAATGGAAATTAATAACGTAGTTATTGGTACTCCTTTAATGGCAGGGTGATCCAAGGACCATGATCTGAAAAGTGGATAAGATATTGAAGGGCGATTGAAAGGAACTCGTAATTGCAAATACGTTTCAGGATTATTTTAGAATTATTATATATAATGGGATTTGAATCTAGTGTAAAATATAATTATATAGATGTGTTAATTATTATATACTGATAATATTGGCCAAAAGTTTGAGTAAGTTGTTCCTAATCCTGATACTGACCCAGTATTATATATATAATATGATGTCTAATATGTAGTAACTATAATGGTTTCTAGAATTCGAGTCCTATAATAGTATGATGTAACAAAAATTTAACAGTTAATTATTGTGGGCAATTCTGATCTCTGAATGTTTCCTTTAATAACTCATAATGTGTTATAATATACTTTAATTATCCACTAAACATTGAGAATTATTAGAGCGTTAAATACAGTCAATATTAAATATCAGTTCTTGTTAAAAATAGCCGTGAAATATTCTGGTCTATGAATAGTTTCTTTTATAATTAATCTGAAATTATTCGTTAAATTTTGAATATAGTATCGTTCCTTATATTAAAATGGAATATAAATTACTGACAATTTCTTTCTACATGAAATTGTAAATGGTTTTTTATGAATCATAAAATTTGGTTTCAATATTCCCGACAGTAATTCGAAAATCACTCCAGTCAGTGGCAGCCATTTTGGTTCCTCCGAAATATTGAAAAGTATTCTTTGAATTAAAATTACGCTTTTGTTTACTGTATACTGCAAATAGAATTTTTCCTGCAAAATCAATATAAATTCTAGATTAATTACAGACAAACTCTTCAAGAAGTTTCTTAAAGAGGTATAAAAAACACATTTGAATAAAAGACTGTCATTGCGATGTTCCCTCGTAAGATTTTTAAATAGTACATTCCATGACACATTGATATTTTTGCAATCAAGTGAGACTTTGGTTGTATAAACGTTCTACAAACTTCGAACTGCCAAACTGTATTGATCCGATACTCATTACCAGACTGCGGATTTTATTTGTTTGATAATTCGTAACGAGAACCAATACTCGAACACTGAACCATTAACCTCTTGAGGGATACTGGCATATTTGTGTACGTTTAGTTTTTCTGTCATTCAATATGTTTCCAAAAGATAAAATTAATATCATTGTGAATAAATACTTACTCGGAAATTCTATAACAAAAAAAAAAAAGGAAAACCTACCAATTGATTGTGATTAATATTCATAAATACATTTTAAATAGATGCAGCTGAAAAAGAGTCTTAATAATTTCTCTTTGAAGAGGTTAAGTTTCAGTGCTATAAGCTAATACATTTTTTCATAGATGAAACGAAATTTTGTTTAAAGAGTTTCATAAAAATTCGCAGTCTACTCATTTACCAACGCGTTTTTATCTCGATTCGTCGTACCGTTGTACGAACGTTATTTATTGCGTGGAGAGGAAGTTCAATGTCTCTCTTTCCCGAGTTTATGTGTAAATATCGATATTCGAAGTTTGCTGCAGTATTGTACTTCCGATCATTAATTTGTAAAAATACTCGCGTAACGGACGGGTGTGTGTGCGTGTTTTACGAAACGGATGAGTGGGGGAATGGAACGTATGTCGAACGATGTGTTGGGAATTTGTAAGGTCTTCCTCTTGTTACGATTAAACGAAACGTGTGGCTCTATATCGAAACGGAATAGCCCGCTGTTCGAACAAATTGAAGGTTTAACATTTCTCGAACCGACGTCTTTAGAACGATTGGTCGTACACCTTTATCTTTCGTACTATTTATAGAAATTGTATCGTAGAGCGGTTTAGGTATTCGTGGATTTTAGAAAATTGATTTTACTTTGTTCTGTCAGATTTCCACGATAAATTATGGGCTTTTGTTGTCTTACGTGATCGTTCATAAGCCAGCGGATACTTGCAGTAAGAAATCCACAAGAACTGCCCACATAACCATTTGCGTGCAAATTGGCTGTAGATTGGCCGCAGATTGGCCGCAGGTAGTGACGAAATCTGTCCATAAATCCATAACCATCTATGGTTTTGGCTTGGGTTTTGCAGGCAGAGCGTGCTGAAAGAATCGTGGAGCACATTGACCGCAGATTGGCGGCAGCTCCTGCAACACAACCCAAGCTAACTAACCGTGTTCGATTGTGAACCTATGTTATGTTGGAGCATCTGCCGCCGTTTTGTCATCAATCTACGCGCAAATTGTTTATAGCAGATCCTGCATCAATTCTGTAGCCATTTTGGTTACAAAAGCTTATAACAGGCATTGGACAAAATCTGGCGGTACAGGTTTGACTGACTGGGTGTATATTCAGTGAATTGTAAGATAATCAGTTAAATGTTGGATTTTGCTCGTAATGATAAAGTATTAATGTTAGTTTATTGAACTCGTTAGAAGGAACAAATAGGTTTTGGTACCATATTTCTCTAAAACAAGTGCTTACAGTTTTAAAATACGATCTAACTCATTTACTCGATACAGACGTCGCCATCTTGGAAGTTCCTGAAGTTCAATATGGCGGCCAAAGAAAGACTAGAACTATTAACTATAAATAATTATATTAGAAAAGAATAATGAATTGAATAGACAGAATAGTAATTGAAATAGAAAATCAAAATATTTCTTTTTCACTGGATTAAGATAGTTAATAATTTAGTTCTGTTTAGTATATTTCTATTTGAAATTGTATAGTTCCGAAAAGTCTGGAAAAAATATTCACACGAAAAAGTGTAATATAACATGAAAATGTAACAAGTATCCGCTGTTTCATGGAGGATACCGTATTTCTTCGAGTCAGTCTTGTACGAACATTCTGGGAAACTTGAAGGCTGCACAGGCTAGCAGAAATGCATTCGGGCGAACGAACGGGATGCAGCTTTAGGGTTAAGGAATGCTACCGAAAGCTTTAACGCCATACAATAAACGTTTACTACTCGCTTCGATGTAACGACTAACTTTCACCGAAACGAGAACCTCGTGAGCTGCGTAATTATATAATACATATTTTTGTAATTATTAAACGGTTAAAGTACACGGAATCGTCGTCAGACGCTATCGAACCACGCGTTGGAAACGCGTGTGACGGTTTTGATATTATACGATAATAAAAAACACTGTTCTTCTTTCTGACCTCTAAAAACGCCCCCGTAGCATTGTGAAGTTTCCTTTCGTTATTTCAGCGAGAAACGGTAACTTCGATTCTTTCTCCCCCTATTTAAGAGTTAAATGTCGGACGTTGCTGTAGAAAAGTAAGATTTACCGAGTAACGTGATCCTAACTGGAAGAAGAAAATGAAACTATAGAAATCAAGGGAAAAAAGCCTATTATCGCTCGTTACAAAATATAAATAATAACATGAATAAATATATATATATATTTTTCACTTGTTCGTTTAATAGTATATCGTAGGTTCGATTGTTATTAGACTGCGAACGTTTACGGCGTTATACAGAAATTTTATGGTTATTCAACGAAAACAGGAATTTTTTTTGTTAACTGAAAAAGCAAGCGAAAGGAGTAATTAGGTTTCATGGATAATTTATATTCCTATTTT